TGTGCAGGAACATGGAACATGTGCAGGAACATGTGCAGGAACATGTGCAGGAACATGTGCAGGAACATGGAACATGTGAAGGAACATGTGCAGGAACATGTGCAGGAGCATGTGCAGGAGCATGTGCAAGAACATGGAACATGTGAGGAACATGTGCAGGAACATGTGCAGGAACATGTGTAGGAACATGGAACATGTGCAGGAACGTGCAAGAACATGTGAGGAACATGTGCAGGAGCATGTGCAGGAATATGGAACATGTGCAGGAACATGTGCAGGAACATGTGAGGAACATGTGCAGGAACATGTGCAGGAACATGTGAGGAACATGGAACATGTGCAGGAACGTGCAGGAACATGTGAGGAACATGGAACATGTGCAGGAACGTGCAGGAATGTGTGCAGGAACATGTGAGGAACATGTGAGGAACATGGAACATGTGCAGGAACATGCAGGAACATGTGCAGGAACATGTGAGGAATATGGAACATGTGCAGGAACATGTGCAGGAACATGTGAGGAACATGTGAGGAACATGGATCATGTGCAAGAACATGTGCAGGAACATGTGAAGAACATGTGAGGAACATGTGAGTAACATGGAACATGTGCAGGAACATGTGCAGGAACATGTGAGGAACATGTGCAGGAACACGTGCAGGAACATGTGCAGGAATGTGCAGGAACATGTGCAGGAACATGGAACATGTGAGGAACATGTGCAGGAACATGTGCAGGAATGTGCAGTAACATGTGAGGAACATGGAACATGTGCAGGAACATGTGCAGGAACATGTGAGGAACATGTGAGGAACATGGAACATGTGCAGGAACATGTGCAGGAACATGTGCAGGAACATGTGAGGAACATGTGCAGGAACATGTGCAGGAACATGTGAGGAACATGTGAGGAACATGGAACATGTGCAGGAACATGTGCAGGAACATGTGAGGAACATGGAACATGTGCAGGAACGTGCAGGAACACGTGCGAGGAGTAAAACACGCTCACTTTAACTTGTTTTCTATACTTGATTTTTCCACAACTAAAAAAATGCACATGTCAGCACAGTTCATATTTATTAATTTAAAAAAGAATCTGGTCTTTTCATTTGTCTGAAATTGTAAAAATCTAAATTATTAGATATTTTTTGATTTATAATGTGGCCCCTAATGGCCACGAAAGCTGCCTCCAACAAACCTAAAGTGGCCCATGGGCCACCAGTTGATCATCACAGCAGGTGATCACTTTTAATTTAGTGAACGAAGACGTAAAATGTCTGTTTTGATCATAAAGGTTGCAGACCCCTGCTCTGAACCAACAGCAGAACTTTGCGGCGCTGAAGCTCGGTTCCTCTCACCCGTAGATGCAGGAGACGTCGATGACCACGTCGATCGTGTCGCAGCAGAGCTCGTAGGACCGCATGTCCACCGGAGAACTGTCCGTGGCAATGTAGATCTTACTGACCACGTCAAACAGGAAGGCCTTCTCGATGCCAGTGTGCTGCGGAGAACCCAGGAGGTTCAGGACCAGAATACAGACTGGGAGAACCTTAAGAACATAAAGTCCGACATACGGATATGAAGATGTTCAGCAGGTTCTCCAGCGTGGGCAGCTGAGGGATGAGCTTCTGCACGACTTTGCTGAAGGCCTCGAAGATGGAGTGGTCATAGATGCTGGTCAGGTAGAAGCTGAGGAGGACAGTAAAACCTGAAAACCCTGGAACCTCCTTCCTGTCTGGTCCCCTGTGGACCTGGAACAGAACCTGCACCGACTTGGGCCCTCACCTGAGGTGGAGCTTGTCCAGGTTGGCGTCTGCCAGCTCGTCGTTGGCTCTCTGATGGACGTCTCGTTGAGTCTCCATTTTGTGGTCATCCGACAGCCCGTCCACCTTATGGATGAAGACCTCGAAGTTGATGTCCGGGTTCACCTTGTAGGCCCTGGAGACGGTCAGGTGGAGCCGGCCCAGAGCCTCCATGTAGTCGTCCTGTAACCAGAGAGGTCCGAGAGACGAGTTCTGTTCATGGGTCGCTTTGAAGACCGTCTAAAGATCTTTGAAGGAGTGAAAACCTACAATGTGAAGTCCTCTGAGGTTTAAAACCAACAGACTGAGATAAATAAAAACAGGTTTGATCCTCAAACGTCTCTGATCAGACGGAGAAGAAAAACTTCTGATCAAATAAAATAAAGACGCTGCAGAAACAGAAACTCTACATCTGAACACCACTGTGACATCATCACTGTGAGCCCAGGTTGTCCCGCCCACCTGAGCGTCGATGACAAAGATGAGAGCTCCAGTTCCTTTGAAGATCATCTCGCTGTCGAACGTCGGGTCGAAGAAGTCCACCTGACCTGGGAAGTCCCAGATCTGGAAGTTGACGAAGGAGCTGCTGGAGATGTCGTCTTTGTAGATTTTGTTGGTGCTTTCCAGGAACAACGTCTCACTGGGGGACATCTTGTGGAAGACAACCTGGACAGACACAGAGTTTCACTCTAGAGCAGGGCTACTCAACTGGTGGCCCGCGGGTGCCTCCAGTCCGGCCCATCAATAAGTTCATTAAAAATAAATATGTATTTTTATTTTGCTCTGGGTTTGGGTTGTGTTTAATGCATTTATGATTGACTGCAGAGAAACACTTTTAAAAAGTAACAGATCGTTGTAACACTTCATTACAGAAAGGATGTCTGGCCCCCGAGCAGTTTTCATGAACAACTCTTCTCTAGAGCTTGAGCGAGCATTTCCTGTGCCTTTCAAAATAAAACATATGAATTTACAGGACAGATCTTACAGAAGGACTCAAACAGATTAACGTCAGTTTGTTTCTTTCACAGTAAAACAGCAACTAATGACAAAAACTACACTGGACACATCGTTTCTAATAAATTTAATTAATGTTTTGTAGTTTCTTCTTTCGGCTTTTCTCTCTTCAGATGTCTCCACAGAGAGTCCTTGTCCTCCATCTCACTCTGTCCTCTGTCCTCACTCCAACTACCTCCATGTTCTCTCTAACTGCATCATATGTCTCCTCTTTGTCTTTTTCCTGCAGCTGCATTTCTAACATCCTTCTACCAATATACCCACGGTCCCTCCTCTGGACATGTCCAAACCACTGTCCCTCCTCTGGACATGTCCAAACCATCTCAGTGTGTCCTCTCTAACTTTATCTCCCAGTTGTCCAACCTGTGCTGTACCTCTGATGATCTCATTCCTGATCTTCTCCATCCTTGTCTCTCCTAAGGAGAACCTCAACATCTTCATTTCTAACACTTCCAGTTCTGTCTCCTGTCTTTTTGTCCATGTCTCTGTCTCCAGACCATACAACACAGCTGGTCTCACCACTGTCTTGTAAACTTTTCCTTTGACCTTTGCTGACACCTTTTTGTCTCAAATCACTCCTGAAACTTTTCTCCATCACTCCATCCTGCCTGGACTCTCTTCTTCACCTCTTTACCACACTCCCCATGTTCCTGGACAGTGGACCCCAAGTCCTTGAAGTCCTGCACCTTGGTGACCTCTGCTCCTTGTAGCCTCACTGTTCCACCTCCTCCCTCTCATTCACACATGGACTCTGTCTTACTACGACTGACTTTCATTCCTCTTTTTTCAAGTGCATACCTCCACCTCTCCAAGTTCTCTTCCACCTGTTCCCTGTTCTCACCACAGATCACTGTCATCTGCAAACATCATCGTCCACGGGGATTCCTGCCTGACCTCATCTGTTGGTTCATCACCAGAGCAAACAAGAAGGGGCTCAGAGCTGATCCTTGATGCACTCCCACCTCCACCTTGAAGCTGTCACTCCTACAGCACATCTCACCACTGTCCTGCTGTCCTCAAACATGTTCTGCTGTCCTCATACATGTCCTGTTCTCCTCATACATGTCCTGCTGTCCTCATACATGTCCTGCTGTCCTCATACATGTCATGCTGTCCTCATACATGTCCTGCAGTCCTCATACATGTCCTGCTGTCCTCATACATGTCCTGCTGTCCTCATACATGTCCTGCTGTCCTCATGCACGTCCTGCTGTCCTCATACATGTCCTGTAACAGTCTAACATACCACACCTCCTCCCTCAGCACCCTGTCAGATGCTTTTTCTAAATCCACAAAGACACAATGGAGTTCTTTCTGACCATCTCTGTTCTTCTCCATCATCATCCTAAAAACAAAGATGGTGTCTGTGGTGCTCTTTCTCTTTCTTGGCATGAAACCATACTGCTGCCCACAGATAGTCACCTCTCCTCTAAGTCTTGCTTCCACAACTCTCTCCCAGACCTTCATCGTGTGACTCATCAACTTAATTCCCCTGTAGTTGCTACAACTCTGTACATCACCCTTGTTCTTAAAAATGGCCACCAGCACTTCTTCTCCATTCCTCAGACATTTTCTCACCCTCATATATATACAAACCAGATTCCAAAAAAGTTGTGACACTAAACAAATTGTGAATAAAAACTGAATGCAATGATGTGGAGATGGCAAATGTCAATATTTTATTCGTAATATAACATAGATGACAGATCAAAAGTTTAATCTGAGTAAATGTAACATTTTAAAGGAAAAATATGTTGATTCAAAATTTCAGTGTCAACAAATCCCAAAAAAGTTGGGACAAGTAGCAATAAGTGGCTGGAAAAAGGAAACTGAGCATATAAAAAACATCTGGAAGACCAATTAACACTAATTAGGTCAATTGACAACATGATTGGGTATAAAAAGAGCTTCTCAGAGTGTCAGTGTCTCTCAGAAGCCAAGATGGTAAGAGGATCACCAATTCCACCATTGTTGCGCAGAAAGATAGTGCAGCAATACCAGAATGGTGTTACCCAGCGTAAAATAGCAAAGACTTTTAAGTTATCATCATCAACCGTGCATAACATCATCAAAAGATTCAGAGAATCTGGAACAATCGCTGTGCGTAAGGGTCAAGGCCGTAAAACTCTACTGGATGCTCGTGATCTCTGGGCCCTTAAACGTCACTGCACCTCAAACAGGAATGCCACTGTCAAGGAAATAACAGAATGGGCTCAGGAATACTTCCAGAAAGCATTGTCAGTGAACACAATCCACCGTGACATCCGTCGTTGCCAGCTGAAACTCTACAGTGCAAAGAGGAAGCCATTTCTAAACAAGCTCCACAAGCTCAGACGTTTGCACTGGGCCAGGGGTCATTTAAAATGGAGTGTGGCAAAATGGAAGACTGTTCTGTGGTCAGATGAGTCACCATTTGAAGTTCTTTATGGAACACTGGGACGCCATGTCATCCGGACCAGAGAGGACAAGGATAGCCCAAGTTGTTATCAACGCTCCGTTCAGAAGCCTGCATCACTGATGGTATGGGGTTGCATGAGCGCTTGTGGCATGGGCAGCTTGCATGTCTGGAAAGGCACCATTAATGCAGAGAACTATGTTCAGGTTCTAGAACAACATATGCTCCCATCTAGACGTCATCTCTTTCAGGGAAGACCCTGCATTTTTCAACACCATAATGCCAGACCACATTCTGCAGCAATCACAACATCATGGCTACGTAGGAGAAGGATCTGGGTACTGAAATGGCCAGCCTGCAGTCCAGATCTTTCACCTATAGAGAACATTTGGCGCATCATAAAGAGGAAGGTGCGACAAACTAAACTAAATTCATTTATTTTGGTTTATAATAGACTACAATAGTAATATTTGTTAAATAAAATATATAAATCCCAACACACCCAACTCTATCTCTCAACCAAACCTAACTCAACACTTCCACCTTCGTCCCTCACTGATTATCTGTTTGAAATAAAACACTGGTTCACTTCAAACTTTCTTAAACTAAATTGCAATAAAACAGAACTTCTTTTAATTGGCACTAAATCAATACTAAATAAACTTCATAGCTTTTCCATTCCGGTTGATAACTCTTCCATCTCTCCCTCCTATCAGGTTAAGAGTCTGGGTGTCATCCTTGATAGCACCCTCTCCTTTTCCTCTCATATCAATAATAGCACTCGGTCAGCCTCCTTTCATCTTCGAAATATTCATCGTCTCCGTCCTTCCCTCACTCCACTGCTGTTCTGCTCCACAGTCTGGTCACCTCTCCTTTAGATTATTGTAATTCTCTTCCTTTTGGCCTACCTCAGAAAACCCTCCATAAATTACAACTGGTCCAAAATTCAGCTGCCCGCATCATTACATCCATCACAGCACACCTGTTTTACAACAACTTCACTGGCTTCCCATCCCATATCACATCATCTACAAAATACTCCTCCTTACCTTCAAAGCTGTCCACCACCTCGCTCCTCCATACCTTTCGTTCCTTGTTCACATCGCTACACCCGCTCGTACCCTCAGATCCTCTTCTTCTATTCAGCTCATTGTTCCCCTTGCCCGTCTTGTTACGATGGGGAGCAGAGCATTCAGCTGCTCTGGGACTCACTCCCACCTGATATTCGTAAAACAGACTCACTCCCACCGATATTCGTAAAAAGATATTCGTAAAACAGACTCACTCCCACCTGATATTCGTAAAACAGACTCACTCCCACCGATATTCG